AAATAAAAATAAAGCAGTGAGAATAATAGTTCAAAAGGGTCAGGCAGTAACTTTCAGAAACCTGAGGAGCACGCCTTGCAGGCATATCTTGCATTTTGTAGGGCTTCTCGGACAGCGCCACCTGATATGGGAGACAACACCTTCCTGTTCCTAGATGCCAAGTTCAGGCCGCTTACACCGCTAAATAATCACAGGAGTAATTAGTCATGCCAGTTAATACTTAGGAATAATGACACTGATAGGAGTAATTGCAGGGCAGCAAAACCGTAAACCCTAAACCCTACACCCTATATAAACCCATTACAGTAGTTTCCATTTCCTTGTCCATTATTCCTATATAGCCCCTATGTAACCAATATCGCAAGTCATCACCTCACAACTTGATATGCTGCAAGTAAATGCGGCGTGACCGAAGTTGTCATCTCGGGGTGCTTCCAGGACCGCCTGGGAACCAGTGATTGCAAGCCAGCTGGAGTGCGTGTTAGTGCATTTAAACAAGGTTTACTCCAACCTTTACAGAACTAGCCTGCGGCAGCAACATGGCTTTTTCTCAAAACAAGGCCCTCGCAACCACACTCTTGATCACAATCTGCATCTGATAACTATATAAGCAAAACAATAACTTCCCCATCCAAACACAGCCGAACGTTCACGGTTCCATGCAAGTTTATGACGAAACAAGCTCAGCACTTTGCGAGATTCCTGCCCTCAGGCATCCATGACCTCTATATGTCCTTATTACATATCCCTGTATAATCTCTATAAATGCCGCTATATCCCTGTACCAACCCTTCATATACCCATCTTTAAGCCCCTTATGTCCAGCCTGCAGTGCGCACACCGACTCTTCGCATAGCTGGAGATGGCGCCGGGACAGGGTCTCTCTGTCCTGATAGTGCTGCAGGAAAGGTATATGAGCAGCGCCATACATTGTTTATCAACAGCTAAGTCAGCAATCAAGGGTATCCCTTTTTCCGGGGAGGGGCCTATCGTGTTACAGGGTTTTGGCACACTGCGGTATTCATACCAATCGCTTTATAGTGTTTTGCCCGATCATCGGATGGATCCTTGCTTTTGGATGTGATTCTTGTAAGTCGCCCGTTGTTGGGTATCGCTTTTGGAGGGGCCTATCGTTTTGCTAGGGTGTTGGTCATGTCTGGATATTTTTGGCTCTTGCACGATAATAAAAGCGAACGCTCATATGGTAGTTTCAATGAAGCAGGCTTCGGGTTGGGTGTAGGAAATGTAGATGGCACGTCTCAGATACAAAGGCTTACCGGTTTTAAGGGTACATCGAGTATATGGTAGTTTGATACATCGGGTTTAGGGTTCAGGGGGTTTATGGTAGTTTCCATACAGAGGGTTCTAAGGGTTTTTGGGAAGTCCCCATAAATAATTAAGGCTAAGGGTTTAGATGGGTTTAGGTATTACATGGTGGTTTCCATGAATTGGGGGACCTCAACACATACGCCAAATACCAAAATCCTTCTTCTGGGGATCCCCGCAAAAGGTTTCGAAAAGGCGTGTGTGGGCTGCGCCGGATCACATAAGGATCAAACTACGGGCCCCTTGTGCTTACAGATGATATCTTACGGCACCTTATTTAGGGGTACCAAAATGGGACCCTAATTTTGGGGGTACATAAGCTGTATGAAGACCACCAGGAAGAGACTAATGTTTTTAGCACATGACCCATGTTACCCGTCACCCAAAATTCCTGACACTCAAACCTCGAAACCGAAACCACGGATTGTAAGTAAATTGCAGGGATGCAGGTTTCTATGGGGATTGTTTTGATAGACCACCACGTCTGGAAGTCTGGATAACAAGAGGGCGCACCCTCTTGGCTGTGGCGACCAACTCGTGTGAGTCCAAGCCCACAGCCTACCAAAACTGGCACACCCTGGGGTTTTCAGGTGCAGTCAAGGGGATTGAGGTGATTTGGGAATTTGTGATTTTTGGTTGAGGGTTTAGGATACATGCTTTAGGGGGCTTGGCTTTTTGGCTGCCTGCTGTGATATTGTGTATGGGTTCACTGAGAGCGCCGCAGGACATACGAGAATCAGCCTTTGTTCTTGGAGGCTTCAGGGGTCAGGCTTCCTAAGCCTCAGTCTCCCTTTATTTGCAGGGTGTCTTCACAATATATATATATATATCTATATATATATACTGGGTATAGTATAGTACGTATTGGGTTCTTTACAGTATATCATGTATTATGGGTATATCACAATGGTTCTAGTTCTAGAAAAATTCAAACAGGGCGATTCCCTCCGTAAATGGACATCCGGCGGCATTCAACAAATGGCTTCTTGTAAAAGGCTAGAGTACAGGAAGCTTCTCAGGCAACCCACCTGCTTGGGCGCATTATCACCGACAACGACTACTGGGGCATTGCTTTTCCCTATAAGGGTCCAAGGACCCAAATAATCGGATTTGGGCCCTAAAACCCTATTATTTGGGTCCTTGGACCCTTAGGGTTTGGGATGGGGTGTCGCTTCTGTAGCTCTGCTACACGGCAAGGCAAGACTCCGCCTGCATCATTTGGATGGCTGCTGCCAAGTCGTCCTGCAACACTAGAGTTACTAGAAATACTACTCTACATCCTTCAGTACCCTAAGACCCTAAACCGCCAGGTTAGGATTTGGAATATCATATACTGCTGACCTGCACGTCAATTCACTGGCTGTGTGCAGCCCTAGCCCGTCGGGAGTTCAAGAAAAAGAGCCTTCCCTAAGAGTCCCAACAGAAAGGTCCCCTGTGTGCAGACCACCCTCTGCTCAAGCAAAACAACCCGAATCAGCGCCGGAATAGTTAGAAGCGGACAAACAACATTGGAAAATGGAACGGAAGCTGGTATTTAGAAGTTTACAAGGTTGAAGGTAAGAGGTAAAATCACGAAAATAAGGCTTTTCAGTTACATAGAAAGCCTGATTCACGTTGGGCTTGCAAAGCTCCCGCATGGTGAAATGGCATGAGATGTTCAGGGTTCAATTCCTCCCGCCTGCCCTTCTCAGAATGTCCCCTGCGAACATCTCTATCGATTGTTGCACCGCTTCCCTAATTCGTGCCAACCAAAGCCCTCAAGAGTGAAACCTAATCCCTGAACCCTAAAGACCTGAAATTGTCTAAAATCTTGACACCCTGCCAAACCCTGTGCTGTAACAACCCTCGTCCCAAAACAAAGCGGACTTTGACGTGGCTGGGTCGGGCATTCGGGTACTCCACCCCTCGCACATCTTAAACAAGCGATGTAGGTACCATGTTGGCTCCCTGCTCAACCTGGTCATGCGGCATAATTGGACTCCGGATGAAACCCTCCTCAAGCCCTCTTGGCCTTACACCCTAAATCCATACCCCCCATCTCCCTAGACCCTAGAATTCCTGAACCCTATTCCGCACACTCTTAAACCCCTCTATAACCCCTATACATCCCCCATATAACCCCCATATAACCCCTATATAAACCCTATATACCAGCTTAAACCACTACTGTTTAGGGCAATTCAGGGTCCAAACTCTCCAGGCTCTTCTTGGAGAGGGCAGCGTTGAGCGCAGTAATGGCGGCATCTCTCTGCTTTTCCTGCATGAGACTTATACATTGGGCTTATAGAAGCCCTGTTCCCTGGACCCTACATGACCCATAAAAGTAGTTTCCATTTTCTTTTCCATTATTACTACTACATAACCCCTGAAACTGGGACTTTAGGCATGAGGGCTCCTCAAATGGACATCTTGAGGGACCCTCAGCATGCATAGAGATGATTCTAAGGAGATTACGGCGTCCCGTATTGCGGGTTGAAGGAGAGGATTAGCAAAACTCCAATATCATATAACATGCAGATCTAAATCGGATTCTCAAAAGAGACTAAGTTCTGTAGAGCCATGACTGTAACAAATCACACCAGTCATGTCGTCACAGACAAGATGAATTAAGCACGTCATGCTGCATACCTGTGAAGCTGAGCTCCCATATTCTATTCAGTGTTTCCTGGACCCCAAGATTAGGCAACGTGACAGCACCCATTCCCCTAAGAAGAGCTCAACAGGCCATTCGTCTACATACTTCGGGGTTAGGTTGGAGTTTGGCAAGTTCAGTGTTTGGAGCACTCAGAAAGAACAGAAAATGTAATGAGTGTACATACTTTTGGGGTTAGGTTGGAGTTTCGTGTTTGTGTGATTTCTTTCTGCATTGCTGCATTGCGGCCGCCTCTTCTTGCTTCAGCTGCAGTGCGAGCTTCTCCTCACCCAAATAATGATTGTAATATCTAGGTAGTAACAGCAGTATTTATTGTAGTAGTGATAGTGATAGTAGAAGCTTCCAGTTTCTTTCGATGATCTCTAAATAACCCTATAGTATACCCCTATATTCCCTTATTCCCTGCTAACCTGCCTGTGAGATATAGTCTAACCTCCGAGTATCCCCCCTAATAAGCCCTACAATACTCCCCCTTATAATCTTCGACAGAACCCCTTTGAGGAGTTTAGACTATGGCTCATGCGTCTGAGCATGGCCTCTTGATGTAAGCATGTTCAAAAACATGGAGGTTTCCCAAAATTGGGGGGTATCTTTTGGGGTCCCTGTAATGGGGTCTGTAATGAGGTCTCTCTACTATTTTGAGAAACACCACATGTCCTTAGCTAGCTCGACAGACGAAGGGTCATCAGTGGTTGGCTTCCTGGGCACAAGCTCTCCGTGACGCAAGCCTGTAACTTCCCTCCTGCTAGCAGCTGATTGCAAAGGTCATGCAAGATCAGGACCACCAGGTTGTCATTAACATAAACCCCCTAAACCCTATATGACCCCAATATACTATAGTAGTTTCCTGTTTCTTTTCCATTATCCCTATATAACCCCAATATAGGTCAATTCTTCTTGTTCTCACTTTGACCGGCAGTGTCATGGCCTCTGAAGACCATCAGCGACGCTTCCCTTCGCATCGGGCCGTGCGCAGAAGAACTGGAGACACTAGAAGGAGGAATCAAGCAACCGAGTAAAGCTAGACAATGACCATGAGTATCATGCGATCAAAGAGGGCAAGAAGAACAAACATGAAGCCTCGCTTGTCGTGCAAGCCAATTGCCGCTGCCTGTCCTCAGACAGGAGTCGCGAGTCACAAGGGCCCACTGAAAACTGCGAAAACTCGCCAGCACCTACTGTGGCAAATCGCTGGAACTTGACAGGCTTCACGGCATTGTGATTTACACTCAAAGCAAATATTCCTTTGGACATACATGAATGCAGAGAATGGAGTCTGGAAGTCCCAATGTCCTTCATCATCTTCTTCTTCTGACCCTGCCTGGAGCTTTGTGCTGGCAAAGGGTTTCAATGATGGTAACTGTAGCTACTTCAATACAAGCGGTGTACGTGAGATGCAGTTGATCCAGCCCTCCCATGCTGACTGCCTTGTGCGCGTGAGTGGCGTCAAGCCCCGCTCCTACATCAGCGCAATTAATTACCTTGTTGTTCGCCTCCTCTATGTAGATCTACGTAGTGCTGCAGAACCGAGCATAGCACTTTCACAAATGTCTGATCAGATCGTGTGCGTGCGCGTAAGCAGATCTCCGGCGCAGAAAGCAAAGGAGATGTCGATTCGACCTGCCCGCGGCCAGGATTTCAACCTATACATCGGCTGTCACATGTGGGCATTGGCTATGTGCCAAGATATGCAAGTCTCCCCAAAAGTATTGCCCAGAACGGTGCTACCTGCATGGCTACGCACAAAGCACGCCTTCGCGTCTTGGCGCAAACCCACACCTCCTGCAGAGATACAGTACCAAATGGCCAAAGGGCAAGGGAGGAAAGTGACTGGCTCCTTTGACAACAGTCATATCCACTTTGAAAAGGAAGCTTGCGTAACGCACAACAAGGAATTCTCTAGAACAAACATAACGGCATTGGGCTATGTAGTCGTTTGCAGTATCGCGGCTAAACTAGATCCCTTGCAGAAGTCCCCATGCAAGCTCTGTAAAATTTGCATGTCAAAGCTCTTGCACCCTAATCCCTAGGCCTGGAGTATACCTGAAGCTTCTTTGTGCAAAGTCCTGGTGCTTTCAGCTTCTTCAATACCCGGGCAGCTTCAGAACGAAGCCGTTTCTCATCCGACCTCTCTGTTGCTCATACGACGTTCAGGGTTCATGATCGCGGTTGCATTGGGCGTCGTACGTCTTTTGGGGATACTGACTGGACCGGGATGGACCATGTTCTGAGAGTACCGTCACGGGGATATGCCGGAATCAGGGTCTGTCTCTCTCTCTCTCTCTCTACATATATATATATAGATATTTAGAGGTATGTTTATGACAACGCAAAGTGCAGAGGTACTTACACCGAAATCTGAAGAGATCTGAAGCGTGCTGATAGTCCCTTGTTAACACTCCGTGCTTACGACTGTTGCTAATATGGCGCCGCTGCGGAAGGGGGGAACTGTACATCCGAGATGGAGCTTTCATGTGAAGGTGGAATTGTATACATGCCCACATGGGGAGTTTCTCAAAATATCCTCTATATAACCAATATCATAAAGACCCCATGCTCCCCTTGTACCCTGTAGATTCCCGAAAAACAGCAAGCATAGGCTAACCCCACACCTCACATCCTATACCCACCCCTATGCTTTGACCCCAATTCTCTAACCACCTAATAAACCGACCTTCCTGATACAACCCAAACCAAAAGCACTACCTACATCCACCACCTTACCA